GCGGAAGTGCGCCTGCGCGGAGTTCAGGGACGGGCCGGCGGCCATCTTGAGTGTGGCTGGAAGGCGAGGCGTAACTGGAGCGTGGCGGTGTCCGCTTTCCAGGTGAGGGTTCCCTGCCGCCGCAAAGGAGGTTCCCGAGTGGCCTATGTCTCGCGGCTGGCAGGACACTTATAGCTCACGTGCCGTCTTCGTTGGAAAACTGACGCTTTTGATAAAGGCCATCGGGGAAGGGGACGAATTCGTTTCCCTAGGTCGCATGTGGAGTGCGGGCACGGAGGTCGCGTTCCCCACAGGGCGCCGCACAAGGCGTGTCGCGCAGGGGACGCCTAATGTGTGCCCATTTGATGAACCAAGGGATCGTGTAGGCGTTTCGCCTCCCGCCCTACGTTACACAAAAGCTTAGTGAGCGGGCGCTCCAGCGCTCCCGGCCATCCCAGTTCCTCTAACCCGAGCTGCAGGGGAGATGCGGGGGACGCCACCGGAGCAAGGTCCCTGCGGGGCTGGATGTTCTGGATTCCCCTGCAGGATCCAGCTCCTAAAAAACCCAGCGTCACTCCTTCCTCTGCCCCCAGTTCTGGGGAAAGTAAATGGCAGTCCGGCTTTGTTCTGTCCCTCTGCGGACCGGGCTTCCAGGCGTCAGAAAGATAAACAATGAGGCATGTGCTGGTGGGTGAGAAGGTTTAGGGGCACCGAGCCATAGGGTTCCCAGAGTGCCTCTCTCCCTACATCCCGGGACCCAGGGACCCAAAGAGGAGGAGAAAGTGGGGCACAGGGCCTGGAGAGGGTTTGGGCAGCTCTCCCACCGGGGCGGGCGGACAGTCTCAGGCCTGCCGGGTCGCCGTGGTGATGAAGGAAATATCCAGGAGGCGCAGCCCTGTCGTACGCAGGGGAGATAAAGGCAGAGTTACTGGGTCGAGATACCCAGAATGATTTCGCTGAGGTGATGCTTGCGCAGTCCTGAGAACTGAGGGAAGGAAAGTTTAAACTGTTAGGTGCCACGGAGCAGAACCAGAACGACAGAGGGCTAGTGGGCTGCAGTGGAAAGGGCTTTGGGCTCAGATGGACCGTCTCTGAGGGCCTGGTCTAGCCCTTAACCTCTCTAGTCTCTGAACAGCATCTAGCCAATAGCAGGTGCTCAAGAAAGTATTGATAAGGGCCGGCCCGTGGCTCATGACAACACCAAGGCCACGGGTTCGGATCCCATATAGGGATGGCCGGCTAGTTCACTTGGGAGAGCGGGGTGCTGACAACACCAAGTCAAGAGTTAAGATCCCCTTACCGGTCATCTTTAAATATAAAAAGAATATTGGTAAGATTTTGCTCTGTAGGTCTTAGGAAGAGAGTCCTTTATGCTTGTGAACAAATATTTTTAACATTGTACAATACCATCGTGGCCTTTTTGTAAATAAACTATATATGTGTACTTTTCTGCATTTTTTCAAATTTTCTTCAATATCTAAATGTACTTTGGTCACTAACTGCCATGCATAGAGAGCCTTGTTTGCCCATCTCTGTTACAAACACCATCTTTGCGTTATCTTGTCTAACCTTCATAATTAACCTAAGAGTAGGGCACAGCTGCTGTCTCCCTTGTGCAGAGGAGGAAGCTCAGACTCAGAGAGGCACTAAGTCAACACAGCTGGCCGGGGTAGTAAAGCTGAGACTGTCTGCTCTGCCTCCCCATGCCGGGTAGCTCCAGGGGTTTTGTTTGTCATCACGCAAAGCTGCCAATCTAATTTTCAAGAAAATTCATTGTGAAAAGCAGGTTATATTGGTGAGAACTATATTTACTAAGAGTAAGCAGAATGAAAAAATGAGTTTACATTATTCTCAACCTGGTATCAGACATGTGTGGACAAGTAGGTATTGATTTAGTTAAAGCTGTAATTCCCAAACTGTACTCAGCATAAGCTATTTTAGCAAAAGAAGTGAGTGGTGTTTCAGTTGCAGCCTCAAATGCCTTGATTCTCACATCCACAAATTTGTGCAGGACACAAAGTGCCAATCACAGCTGTATTAGTCTGTTTTATGTCACTGATGACAGAATGCCTGAAACTGAGCACTTTATAACAAAATGAAATTTATTTGTCACAGTTTTGGAGGCTGGGAAGTCCAAGGTCCAGGGGGCACATCTGATGAGGGCCTTCTTGGTGGGGACTCCCTACAGAGTCCCATGGTGAGGAAGACTATTACATGGCGAGAATCCAAGAGCATTTTCTTGTCCTCTCCTTATAAAGCCACCACTCCACACTCATGATAACCCATTAATCCATTTACTCATTAGCGGATTAATCCATTTATGAGGGCAGGGCCTTCATGATCCGATCACTTCCTAAAGACCCCATCTTTCAACACTGCCACAGTGGTAACCAATCTTTCACATGAATGAGCTTCGGAGGGGACAAACATTCAACCCATATCAATAGCCAAGGCCTGCTACTGCCCACTCACAGCGATTCTCTTTCCAGAGGGAAGGAGGAAGGACGTCCCTATCTCAAGTGTGTTCTTTAGTTTGGTTACTTCCTGATCCCAGACTTCATTCTCTTTCTGAGGAATCAGGTGTATAATTCTCCAAATTATCATTTCTTGGCCCTGTAATAATACTGAAGATGTGTCCAGGGTGCCCCATAGCAGCCAGCCTCAAACAAACAAACAAACAAACAAACAAACAAAAACAGGTTGAACTAGTCTACACGTCCAGTAACAATGTATAAATGAACCTATTCCCCTACACATTGACCCACACTAAGTATTATCAAACTTTGACATTTTTGCCAATCTGATAGGTGAAAAATGGCATCTCATGTTTATTTTGAACTAAATGAAAATGAAATGCAACTTATCAAAACCTGTGGGATGCAGCACACTATTGAAAGAGAAGAACAAAGCTGGAGGACTGGCGCTACTCAGCTTGAAGCTATAGTAACCAAGACAGTGCGGTACTGGTGAAAGAACAGACAGATCATTGGCACAGAACAGAGAGCCCAGAAACAGTCACACACAATTACAGTCAACCGATGCTTGGCAAAGGAGCAAAGGCAGCACAATGAAGAAAAGAGAGTCACACAGCCACGCTAAAACCTGACTCTAGACACAGACCTCATGCCCGTCACAACATTAACTCACAATGGATCCCAGACCTAAACGTAAAATGAACTATAAAACTAGAACATAACATAGGAGAAAATCTAGATGACCTAGGGTTTGGCGATGACTTTATTTATTTATTTATTTGTTTATTTTTTCCTTTTTATCTTTTTTCGTGACCGGCTACGGATCGCAACCCTCAGTGTTGCGCCCGCACCTCGCTCAGCCAGTGAGCAGCCGGTCTATATGTGGGATCCGAACCCTCGGCGGGAGCGCCGCCGCACTCCCAAGTGGCGCACTGTAGCAGTGCGCCACCGGGCTGGCCCTGGCGATGACTTTTTAGAAACACCAAAAGCATGATCAGTGAAAGAAAAACTTGAGAAGTTGGACTTCATTAAAATTAAAAACTTCTGCAAAAGACACTGTTAAAAGAATAAAAATTAAAAAGACAAGCCACAGACTGGGAGAAAATATTTGCAAAACACGTACCGGATCAAGGGCTTTGGTTTAGGGGTACCCAGAATTTATTTTAACCAAGTATGGTAAGACACACAGACACAGAAAGGATGGTCATGAAAATAATTTTATTCTAGTCACAGTTCCCTAGAAACAGGAGGCACAGCATGCCCTGCAGGGCCACACTGACTGGCACTTGGGTTGACCAGGAGGCAGAGGGGACAAGAGGAAAGGGGGCCACGAGCCCTTAGAGTGGTTTCCATGGGAAGGAACAGGCGAGGCAGGATAAACACGTTTAGGATCAGCTGATCTGAATAATTTCAATGGGTTCTAGGGTGCAGGGGCTGTCCCTAGTCATTTGGTACCTGTCCCTGGAGTGATTAGGACTGGTGGATAGTGGCCCAGAGTGTAAGAGCCCCATAAAGCCTGAGGGTGTGGGCTCTGGATTGGTTGGTTTGCATATGAAAGGCACTTTTGAAAGTGAGTTGTTTGCTATCTCTAGGAATTAGCTAACTTTAGGAGGGGCAGTCCCACCAGGGTCTGGAAGGCCCCCAAGATGTCAAAGCATCAGAATACAGAAAAGGCATGGTTAATACAGACTTACATCCAAATTATACAAAGACCTTTAAAAACCCAACAATAGAAAAATAAACACCCAACTAAACAATGGACAAAAGAACTGAACAGGCACCTCGTGAAAGAAGATACACAGGTGGTAAATAAGCATATTGAAAACTGCTCAATATCATATGTCACCGGGAAACTGTAAATTAAAACAATGAGATACCATTACGTACCTATTACAATGGCTAAAATTCAAAACACTGACCACACCAAATGCTGGTGAGGATGTAGAACAACAGCAGCTCTCATTCATTACTGGTGGGAATGCAAAATGGTACAGCCACTTGGGAAGACAGCTTGGCAGCTTCTTACAAAGCTCCTAATATAGTTCCTGTATTCTCACTGTAGGAATCGAGCTGCTTGGTGTTTACCCAAATGTGTTGAAAACTTACGTCCACACAATAACCTATGCAAGAACGTCTATAGCAGCTTTATTCATGATTGCCAAAAATGGAAGTAACTGATGACCTTTAACAGATGAATGGATAAACAAACTGTGGTATAGCCATACAATGGAATACTACTCAGCAATAAAAAAAAAAAAAAAGAAAGAGCTATTAAGCCACAAAAAGACATGGAGAAATCTTAAATGCCTATTAATAAGTGAAAAAAGCAAGTCTGAAAAGGCCACACATTATATGATTCCAACTACATGACATTATGGAAAAGGAAAAAGTATAGCAACATTAAAAACATGAGTGGTAGGGCCGGCCCGTGGCTCACTTGGGAGAGCGTGGTGCTGACAACACCAAGTCAAGGGTTAAGATCCCCTTACCGGTCATCTTTAAAAAAAAAAAAAGTAAATAAATAAAATAAAAAGATGAGTGGTTGCCAGGGGCTTTCAGGGTGGGGGGAAGAGGGCAGAGGGAGGAAGACACGGATGAACAGGTGGAGGACAAGGGATTTTTAGGTTGATGAAAATATTCTGCTGATACTAGAAATGTGGACACATGATATTATGCATTTGGCAAAACACACAGGACTGGGCAATACAAAGCATGATCCCTATTTTAAACTCTGGACGTTAGTTAATAATAACGTATCAAGATTGGTTCATCAGTTGCAACAAATGCATCCCACTAACTCAAGATGTTAATAACAGAGGAAATCGAGGTGGGGGAGACACAGGAGGGAACTCTATAGTTTCTATGCAATTTTTCTGTAAACCAAAAACTGCTCTAAAAAAGTCTATTAATAAATTTTTAAAAGGACATCCCATGTTTAATTTGTATTCCTTCTATTAAATTTGAGTATCTTTCTTTTTTTTTTTTTGTCTTTTTCCGCGTCCAGCAACGGATCGCAACCCTCAGTGTCGCCCCCCGTACCGGACCGGGACCGGCAACGGGATCGCAACCCTCGGTGTTGCCCCCGCGCCTCGCTCAGCCAGTGAGCGGGAACCGGTCTGTATGTGGGATCCGAACCCTCGGGCAGGAGCGCCGCAGCGCTTCCCAAGCGGCGCACTTATCCAGTGCGCCACCGGGCCGGCCCGAGTATCTTTCTTGTTTATTGGCCATATTTATCTATTTGTCTGTGAACTGCCTATTTAATGTCCCTTGCCCATTTTATATAAATATGATGTTCATATTTTCTTATTAATTTTTCAGAATTTTTTGTATATTAAACAATATCATTTCTGTGAAAACCTTTTTCTTACTTTTTCCTTTTTTATTATTATGTGGTTTAATTCTCTTTGCTGTTGCTATTTTGCTCTACTAGAATTTTAACTTTTTAATTTATTCATATTTATCAGGCTTTTTGTTTTGTAGCTTTTTGGTTTGGAGTCTTTCTTGGAAAAGCTTACCCAGTTTTAACTCTTATTTTTTAAATCACTGGTGTTTTTTTCTAGTTTTTTTTTTTTCTTTTTAACATTTACATCATTGAGCCATCTGGATTTTTCCCAGATGGACAGCTAATTGTCCCAATACTATTTCTTCAAGAATTCATTATTCAACCACTGATTTGAAATGCTACCTATATTATAAATTAAGTTCCCATAGATATTTGGACCTATTTCCTGGGTGTATTCTGTTCCATTGAACTGCTTTTGTCTATTTCAGCACCAGTATCAAACCAGTTAATATAACAGAATTATACATTTAATATTTGGTAGGGATATTTCTTGGCTTTTTGCCCCCCCCAAAACACCTTCCTGCATATTCTCCTTTTGTTTATTTCTTTGCAGGGAAACTTTACATGCATTTTCACAGCTGCAAATTGAATGTCCCCCTAACAAACTGGTTTGAATTAAGGGTCCTCAAAGAGGGTGGGGCGTCACCCTGGGAACCATGCCTGCTTGAGGGATGGAGGCAAAGTGTGACCCTGAAGAGGCAGGACCAGAATCCACCCGGTGGTACCTGTGAGGTGGCCAGCAGAGAGAGGCCAGGAAGAAGATCCTGGACCTCACAGGTGAGAGCTGGGGTGGGGAAGCCGCCAGGCTGGCAGGAGCCCCTGCGCTGCGGGCAGATCAAAGGCAGGCCCAGGGCAACTCTCTTCACAGCTGAGTGACACAAACAAGAGGAAAGCCAGGCAGCGGGGGCTGATGGGATCACCACAGGTGACCACAGCAGGCTTCTAACGGGCTGCCTCCCCAGCACCTGGCCTTGGCCCAACACAGAAGGTGTTTAAGGTGCCCAATAAAGCTATGATGAAGAAATAAACAAGTACATGAAGGCTAAACCCAGGAGGGAAAGGGAGGAGCAGGGGCATCTAGGAGAACCAAAGGGATATTGTGTCCCAGAGTGGGGAGGTCACAGTGCACCTCATGAGCAATCACGAACCTCTCTGACCTGAAGATCCCCACAACATACTCATGAGCAGCAGAAACGCCCACCCCCACGGGATGGGGCTGAGGGACGCCTGTATCTCTTCCTGCCCCTCTTTTGGCCAGACATGGCTGTGGAACAGGTGAGAGTCTAGCTTGGAGGGAGGAACTGTGGACACATGTCCCCATGGGAGTGTTACACGTGCTGGCTGATTTCTGACAACACCACAGCTGGTGTTATGGGTGGCCCAGAGTGGAGGAGAAAGACCCCAAGTGTGAGGTCAGACAGGCCTAGTCTGATCTCAGCCCTGTCACCAACTAGCTGTGTGACTTCAGCCAAGGGAGGGCTTCCCTGAATAATGCACCACATGCGCTGACAGGCCCCCTTAGGTTAGGGGTGAATCAGGTAACATAGCATATATGAAGGGCTTGGCACATAGTAGGTGCTCAAGAAATGTTAACCAGTGCCCACCCCAGCTCTTCACTGGCCTTTCCAGCTATGGCTGGAGTATAAAGAGAATGACACGGGCTTCTGCAGCTACGTTTCACTGCTTAGAAAAGTGTTTTGAGTTCCAAACAGTCAATTTATGCAGAATCTTTGGGGCCCTCCACCTTTTCTTGTCTGTCCCCAAAATGGTCCTGAGCCACTGACAGCATGTTGCCCCTGGTCCACCCAGTAAGGCCATTCTTGAAGATCGAGAAAACTAAATCACCAGGCAGTGAGTGCCAGATGCTGAATGGGCACCTTCTGGCACCTTTTAGACACTTCTCTGTACCTTGGTTTCTCCTTTGTAAGGAAAATACTACAACTCCACCCCCGCCCCCCACAGGCATAGGTTGCTGTGAGGACAGATGACCATGATAAAGGCTCATACACACACCTGACTTACTTCCTGGACTATAAAAATGCAAGAAATGTCACTCACATGTCCCCTCAGCTGGCACCTTGTGGCCCCTGCTCTTTAGACAACCCACCCAGCACTTGGCACTCACTGCCTGCTGATTTAGTTTCCTCGATCTTTAAGAATGGCTTCCCTGGGTGGACCGGGGCCGGGTGGCTCAACACGCTGTCTGTCCACGGCTCAGGACTGTTTTGGGGCAGACAAGAGGAGGCAGAGGGTCCCAAAGTTCTGTATAAATGGACTGTTTGGAACTCTGAACACCGGAAAGCAGGTGCTCTGTTTTGTCCCCCATGATGTTGCAGAATGACTGGCACAGAAACATCGGAGTGACTCTCTTGGGACCAGCTGGAACATTCCCTGGCCACAGCCACTGTCCTACCTGACAAGATAGTGTATCTGTAGGTTCCAACAGCCAGGGTTTCTGGGGATATCCTGAAGACCTCAGTCTGGCCAAGGGCCGTTTAGATCCTAAGGCGGGTGAGAAACCAAGTCAAGTCGGGCAGAGAAAACCAAGCGGGTCGAGGAGGCACCGGCTCTTACCCTGCTACTGGCCATCCACATGCCACGGCCCCTTCGCTGTCCCTGGGCCTGGTGAACCTTTGCTGCTAGGACACCAGAGGGCTCTGGCCACTGGACATCCACTCTGACACTGGTCGCCAGGCACGAGTTCTGGGTCTGGACGGTGACCAACACCTGAGGGGAATTTTCCACTAGCTTTTCAAACCCGAGCTCTCCTCAGCCCGGCTTGCTGAGGACAGGGCCAAGGACGGCAGGAACCAGCAGAACTGCAGGCGTCCCAGCACGTCCCCTGCTGGCTCTAGGGACAAAGGGACAAGCGCGTGAGGCCTTCAGCAACGTCTCCCCGGGCCCGGCCTCAAGGCCCCTTTCCAGAGCCCGGGGTGGGGCTGTGGGACCGCGGCTGTGGCCTGGGGGCGCCTCCCTCCCTCCAACCCAGTGGCCGTACAGCAGTAACTCTTATTTTT